CTCAAGAAGCTTGCATACTTTTGTTCTCTTTCTCTCTCTCTCTCTCTCTCTCTCTCTGTTTGTTAATCCTCATCAGATTTTTAGAGAGAGTGGAAGGGAGGGGGAGAGACAGAGAGAAACAACAATGTGAGAAAGACACATAGATTGATTGCCTTCCACATGTGCCCCACCCAGGGCCCGGATTGAGCCTGCAACCCAGGTATGTGCTCTCGATGGAATCGAACCTGGGACCCTTCAATCCTCAGACCGACGCTCTATCCACTGAGCCAAACTGTCTAGGGCTAGTTCACTCTCTTAAACCTTCTTTGGCCACCGTGTGAAGAAACGTAGCCTGCTGGAGAACTGAGCTTAGCTATGTCTAATCATGTAGACTATTCAGTCCTCCAGCCAATGTTCCACTGATTGCAAACGAATGAGTGAACCTGGCTAAGATCAGTCAAAAACCTGGCCAGATGAGACCTTCTCAACTCAACCCATGACTCATAAGCAATAATGCTTATTGTTTTGAGCCACTAAGTCATGGTGTTACTTTGTTAGGCAGCACCAACTGATCATCCCTTTCTTGATTCTACTGACAGCTACTAGTATAGCATACTTCCATTATAGCCCTTACATCACTACACATTTTCCTGTATTTCTCTTCCACAAATGTGTGAGCTCCTTGAGAATAGGGACAAAAATATAAGTAGCAACTGCCAACTCTTCAATCAGAAAAATATCAATAATTAATTGCTTAATTAAGGGTTACAATGATGCCCAAGGGATGATTTTGGAGGCACACCAGAGTTTGAATCCCAATTCTGTTTCCTATATGTGTTATTCCAGAGAAATAGGTTAACCTTGCTTGACCTTATCTTTTCATCTATAAACTGAAGACTGGAATAGTATATGCTGCAGGACTGTAGTGATAAGATATATATATCCCCACCTCCCTCAACTTGGCATAGAGTGAATGCTCAACAAGTAAGAATTAAATGATAAAATGCACATAAGCATTTAGTATAGCACATGGCTTACAGTTACTCAATAAACAACAGCTCTAGTAACATGATCTTGATTATCAGCATTGTTGTTGTATCACTTCTTATAGCAGAAACTATTAGGTGCTCTACCCACATCCCTTTGGAATTTTTAATTTCTGTGCATGCTGACCTGATGGTGGCTTCCAATGGCAAATACTCAGGTCTCTTTGCCTGAGGGCTTCCTCTGGTTGCTGGAGTCCCCTTGGTCTACATATATGGTAGATCACAAATACCTGGGAGTTAACATCATCCACTTCCTCCCAGGGGAGCAGCCCTCATCCAAGTCAGATGGGAGAAGGTGGCTATAAACCCGTTTCCTTGTCTTTAGTTAGGATAAATCCAAGATATTCTATACTGTATCCCAGAATTGTCCAATGAGACCATACTCCTCTTGGTTACAGCAGTGACAATGCACCTTTTCTATCTCCTCTCTATTCCCTTCTCACATCCCCACTCCCTACAAAAGCATACTGGCATCACCTTCCAAATAATATTCAAATTTTTTCTTTCCATCTGATTGTAGGGAATCCAACCTAAGACACTACTACTCTTTGTTTTATTTTATCCTTATTGCTCCAGAAACAAAATATTTCTTCCTAGCCTTTTAATGATATCCCCAGCTAATCAAAAGGTTGTATCCAACCTAGTATATGACAAGACCAACCACAAAATATGGTATAACATTTTTAGGTCTTCTCAGATGTATTCACATGGCTCAATTCTCTGAATATGTGAAGACAGGGTTAAATTGCAGTTGATCTTGGGTACCTCTGTGCTTATCTTAAAGGGCGCCTGGAACCACGGTATTGATTCCTGGCCAAGACAGAAGTGAAATGCACCAGCTAGTGATTTACAATATGCTGTTAAAAGTCCCAAATTCCCCCAGAGGCATCCTGTACCTGCTTGTCTACACTGTTTAGTGAAACTATATGGATTGATGGTTTGAACCTGTTTACCTATTCACAAAGCCTGCTTTTAGCTACTGGAGCTGTGAGATATAAAACGCCCCTCAGTAAGCTTGAGCCTTGGCTCCCCTGAGACGAAGGTGTCGCACATGTATTTCGGTGGTTCGTGACCAGAAAATGAAGTGCATCCTGTGTGATGGAGAAAGGACCCTGGGAGCTGTACCAGCAAGCCTCAGTCCTCTCTGATGTTTGCCAGGCTTGCTTTCTCCTGCTGTACCATATCCTTTATCCTTTGCCTTATCACAGCTTTACATGTTTTTTAATTGCCTGACACTGTAGAATCGCTGCACTGAGGCTGGTTTCTGACAACTGAAGCCTTTTTATAGGGTGTGGGGTAAAGGGAGGGAGGGTTGTTATAGCACCCCAATTTAGAGTTATTTCAGAAAGTTATGAGTACTGGAAAGCAGGGTTCTGTACTTCGCTGAGCTCTTTGGCTGAGTTATCATGAAAATTCTTCTGAACAAAAACATTGTGGTTGTTTTATGCTCCAACAAAGGTTGCTGGATTATTAAAATGTTGGTGCGAAGTGCTAAGGTCATCACCTAATTCCTTATCCTCTCACCCCTCCTCTTGTACAATGGGCACATACTTCAGCATAGGAAGCCCTCACTGTGGAGGGGATTCGTTTCTCTGGCCAACATTGTTTAAACCCACATATTCTTGTCTTTTTAAAACAACAATTTTAAGTAGTATCTTAGTTTTTCCCTCAATGTCCCACTTAGGAATAATCCAGTATAAAGTTTCACTCTTGAAGTCTTATCAGAAAGAACACCCTTCACACTGCCTACCTCTCCTCTTCTGGGCAACAATGTTCTCAGAAGTGAGAAACCAGGCAAGGAGGAGGAGAGGAGTTGCAAAAGCTTTTGGAAGGCTCCAGTTGCCATGTGTTATATTACAGCAGTTCTCAACCTGTGGGTTGTGACCCCTTTGGCAGTCGAATGACCCTTTCACAGGGGTCGCCTAAGACCATCCTGCATATCAGATATTTACATTACGATTCATAACAGTAGCAACATTACAGTTATAAAGTAGCAACGAAAATAATTTTATGGTTGGGTCACAACATGAGGAACTGTATTTAAAGGGCCAGAAGGTTGAGAACCACTGTTATAAGATAACTTGCCTAGAACACAAGGTTTCAGGGAATAATCTTATTTCTTTTCACAATTTGACATCAACCCCCTCTAAGTTTCAAAAGCAAGGCCACAAACATATATACCATAAGCTGTTCTTTGAAACAGCAAAGTAAATTACCATTTAAGTATTGTATATTGAAACACAAATGAACAGCATACATATCATATGAAAATTAGAATTATGTTGGGGATTCATAGAAAGCATTGGCAGTTATCTAGTTTAACCTACCTGAAGTAGATGCAAAATATTCAAAATCCATTTATCCCCAACGTCACGTCCCTAAGCCAACTACATTATCTCTTACATAGGTGACAGCTAATGAATGACTCTCCAAGGGTTCTATCTCCTTTGAAGTAAAATGAACTTCACATCTCAAGGGCTCGCCAATGTCATCTTCTACCTCATGCTTCTGCACATCCCGTCTCAAAGTAACACAGGTCTGCTTTTTGAGCCTTGAACATATCCATCCAGATCCTGTTTCATGGCACATAAAGTGTCCGATCTTCACACCTTGACTCAGCTGGCTCTTCATCATTCAACTCTCAGCTCAAAATTCTCTGAGTGGCCTTCTCTGACCCCGGAACTAAAGTAGCCCCAATCACCCACTATCTCATTATCTGTTCACCATGTTCATAAACTTTATGAATGTCTGCATGGATTTCCAATTTTTTGGCATTTATTTACTTACTCTTCTCCTTCCACTAGACTGTCAGCTCCTTCAAGGCCACACCCTTGCCTTTTTTTTTGTTCACTCTCATATCCCTAGTGCTTAGAACAATTTACAGGCACATAGAAGTCACCCAATAAATATTTGTTGAATAAATAAATGTACTTTTCTGCTTTTTTGCTATTGCATATTTTTCTTTTTTTATGAGATATAATTGACATATAACCTTATATTTGTTTCAGATGTATGACATAACGATTTGATATTTGTATATACTGTGAAGTAATCACAATAAGTCTAGTTAACATCCCTCACCACATATAGTTACAACTCTTTTTTTTTTCTTGTGATGACAACTTTTAAGATACACTCTCTTAGCAACCTCCAAATATACAGCCTGGTATTATTAACTACTAGAGGGCTGGTGCACAAAATTCATGCATGGGGGGTGGAGGGTGTCACTCAGCCTGGTCTGCACCTTCTTGCAATCCAGAACCCCTCAGGGGATGTCCAACTGCCAGTTTAGGCCCGGGATCAGGCCTAAATCAGAAGTCAGACATCCCTCTCGCAATACGAGACTGCTGGCTCCTAACCACTCGTCTGCCTGCCTGACCACCCCTAACTGATAGCCTGCTTTCCTGATCTCCCCTAATCACTCTGCCTGCCTGCCTGATTGCCCCTAACTGCTCGCCTGCCTGCCTGATTACCCCTAACCGCCTCTGCCTCGGCCTCCGTCTCAGCGGCTTCATCCAGAAGGATGTCTGGAAGGTCATTCTGCTGTCTGGCCTAATTAGCATATTATGCTTTTATTATTATAGATGGTCACCATGCTGTATATTACATACCAGGAAATACTCGCTTTATAACTGAAGTTTGTAACTTTTGACCCCCTTTAGCCATTTGGCCCACCCCTTCTGCCCTCCCCTGCCTCTGGCATCCACCAATCTGTTCTCTGTTATCTATGAGTTCAGTTTTTAAAAATGTTATTATTATTTTTTTTTAGATTCCACGTTTAAGTGAGATCATATGGTATTTGTGTTTCTCAGTCTGACTTATTTTACTTAGCATAATGCTCTTCAGGTCCATCAATGTCATAAACAGACAAGTTTCTTTCTTTTTTATGGTCGAATAATACTCCATTGTGGTATATATGCAAACTTTACAATAAAATTTTAAAAGGCAAAACGATAGCATAATTGATTCCCCTACCTTTTTACGATGGCTGTGGATGAATCAGACTCCAGAGGAGTGTGCTATTCTTTGTGTTGTGCAACTCTTCGGCGGAGCTCTCCAGTGTTCTTCATTTTTCCCCCGTGTCCATTTTGGCAAGAGGTGGAAGCATTCTGCCACAGTGTATTTCTGTAACAACATGGTACCTCCATGAGTCAGAACCCCGCCAACATTATGCTCAGTTTAAAAATAAACATATGACCTCACTTACTTCACATTCTCCTGCATGCTGTACATCCTTTCCAAACTGTCTCTATCACTTCCTCTGGCGTACAGCTACTGCTCTGTATATCATTACCTGACCAGAGCCAGGCAGTGTGAGACTCTCCTCAGCACCTTGCCTGCATCTTTCTCTAGTTATCCCACAGCGAGTCCATGTCTCCAACACGAGGAGCCCAACGGGGATGGGAACTGTGCCCTTGATCCCTGAATCTCTGGGGCCTAGTCCACTGACTTGCAATCACACATGTTTAATACAGTTGCGTCTCATTGTCTGCAGTAGCTATGTTCTATGAAGTTGCCAAAAACACTGAGCCATTGCTTTTAGGGGAAACTGGGATTAGGTTTCTGCTTGTCTCTGGCCCCCAAATTTCCATCAGTGGACCAATATATAACCTTGGTTTGTGGTTTTATGTGTGTTTCTTTTGAAAGACACCTTATTTAATATATAGTTGATTCATTAACATTCAACTCACAGCCAACAGCACTATAACGCATGCCTGAATGAAACTTATCTAAGGCATATATTCTCTCCGTAAGGCACCCCACAGCCTCCTTTCAGTTAGAACACTAGGCAACCCTTCAGCACTAGGCTGGGGAACCATTTCAAACAGCAGAATCACCAACAAAAAGCACAGGAATGCAAATAACCTGAGAAGGTGAATTTGCAAATAAAAATCCATCTAGAATAATAGAAGTATAATATGCTAATTAGACCAGATGTCCTTCTGGACGACCTTCCAGATGAAGCCGGGGCTGTGAGGGAAGCCTGGGTCCTGGGTGCCAGAGGGAAGCCTCTGCCAACAGCCAGGAGAAGGAAGGCCTACTCTTGCATGAATTTCATGCATCGGGCCTCTAGTAAATAATAAAGATAGACTGTATGCACATTGGCTGAATCAAGGTTATATGTAGATCCATAAGTTCCCAACTTTGCTTCTAGTTCAGCACAGCACTGCTATTTAAATGAGTAAATAACAAATACTATGGATAGGGTAGAAAGAGACTAAATCCAGATTTTATGGGTTTATGAAAGGTCCAAGAACTGAAAGCACTTATTTTCTCCTAACCTATTAAAAGGACACATTCCAGATCCTAGTTCTTTTCTTCTTCCTGATATTAATCACTGCTCATCCAATTTTCAGACAAGTGCATAGAAACTTTCCTGAAAATAATTATAGGTTTACAGTCCACCTATTCACTATGGGAAAACTCAAACTGCTCCCAGGAGACAGCTCCATTTTTCTCCTTAGATCATAATAAGAAATACCTACTTTTATTTTATTATATGCATCAGTTGACTGTAGGCACAATGTACACACTTAGCAGTCTGGCTTTTCTGCAAAAATGCCAATACTCTGTGACATAAAAAATGAAGGCTTTACACTTTAAGTATCTACTTTCTAGTGCATTTAAAAATATTTAAGAGTTCCATGGGAATTCTAATTTTAAAGCAGATTTATGTTTTAAAGCGTTTGCAAAGATTTTCCCATTAAGTTTACTTCTCAGTATGGCAAAGTGGTTATATTTAACCTCGATTTATTTGTAGTTCATGGAAAGGAACTTGTTGGTAAATCACCTTCTTAAAAGCCTGCCCTATGTGTCAAACTACCATTGCTAAGATCAGTAGGACTTGCTTAAACGCAACGTCGTGTGTACGTAACAAGAAATCTTAGGAGAGTGATTCTGAAAGCTCAGTCTTATGCGCTTTTAATTTAGTTCAAAATGGGTTGCCAGACGGGGAGATGGGTGAAAAAGGTGAAGGCACTAAGAAGTACAAATTTGCACTTACAAAAGTCCCTGGGATGGAAAGTACAGAATGGACAATATAGTCAGTAACATTGTAATAACGATGTATGGTGTCAGGTGGGTACAAGACTTATTGGAGGCATCACTTTGTAAGTTATAAATGTCTAACCACTATACTATAAACCTGAAACTAATATAATATTGGATGTCAACTATAATTGGAAACAAAATAAAAATTTAGTTCAAAATCAGCTAAAATATAGACATAATTTTCTTTTAAAGTCCTATGATAGTCTCTTCATATATTTCAGAATATCAGAAGAGAAGTCACCTTGTCAAGAAATACAATTTCAAGATTGATGTAGCCATATGGGTCTACTGCATAACAATAACATAATTTAATACATTTTACAAAAATAGTCTTGATCCAGAAAAACAAAATGAAATGAATGCATCTTATTTTTATATTTCATTAATAACACTATTATTACACTTTATATAGAATTAACCAATATTTGAGCTTATTTTGCAAGAATTAGCATTACTTTTAATTTTCTATTTATTCTATAAATAACCAAGTTAATAATAAATCAAATGCCATCAACTTACTTTAATATGTATCTAGATCATCATTAAAACTCTCCTGTCAAATTTCTTTCTCTTTAAACATTCCACTAAGAAACCATTATCTACATATCTCTGATAGAGCCTCATTGCCACTACTGACTTAAAATATAGCAATCTGAGTATTCAGGAGGCTGTGTTGAGATAATAGCTATACCATTCTTAAGCTATTAATAAAGTACATCTTAATATGAGGTGCAAATGCCAATTGAATTTCATATGTAATGTTAACAATATTTAATATTTCTAACCTTTATGAAAAAGGGGTTAGATTTAGAATTGACAGATGTGGCTCCAACTTATACTAGCTGCATGGTTTGGGGCAATTCATCTGAAAACTGGAGAGGCACACCATTTGGAGATAAAGTGAAAATGGCCTATGTAACGTTCCTGGCCAATAACGAATAGTATAAAATGTAGGCTCTTGTTTTTATTAATTACAAAAGCAACCCAAGAAGCACTTTAGATAACTGGATTTAACTCTTAAAACCTAAAAGCATGACCTGTCACCTGTGCATAATTTGAAAAAGTTATATTTCACCCACATTTTGACTTACCAGCAAAATAAGCATCTCTGGAGCTGTGATGGGTGTGTTATAAGAACAGAGATATCCCTATCAAAGAAACACAACTAACTTCTTCATACATAAGTCTATGCCATTTTGCAAATTTTTCCCCATAGATTCTCTGATAAACCAACCCCTCAATATTGGGCACCTTGATCATCAGCTCAAACAGAAAAACAAGAACTTCATTACAAATGGCACCTGACTCTGAGATATGCATATATTACTGGGCTCACTGGTAAATTACTAAGAAACTCTAAGATTCTACTATGTACGATAGAACAGAGAGTTACCATCAACCATAAAGTACAAACAGTTTGGACCAGTGGTTCCCAACCTCTTTTTGGTCATGCCCCACCTAAGCATCTCTAAAATCCTGATGTCCCCCCCGCCCCCCCCCCCCCCCCCGCCCGTGACATATAATTCTTATTATTCAAAAAGTGAACTCTATTCATGTGGAGGAAGCCTAAAAGGCCATTAACTTGGTCTAAGCTTTCAAAGAACATGGCATCCATGAAAGAGAGAAATAAAAGAACAAAAGGACAGTTGAAGTACTGAGGAAGAAATTATTAAAAAAATAATAATATGAAGTGATATGAAAAAATAGCAAATTAAGTTTCAAAACATATAATAGAGAACAGAAATGCTTAAATATGCCACAATATATATTTATATACTGTATATGAGGCCCTTAGAATAATAAGAAATGCAAAAAATTCACTGTTAATAACTCATTCTCGATTTGCCCCCCTTAAAAATCAAATTGCCCCCCTGTAGGGTATGTGTCCCATGTTGGGAACCACTGGTTTAGACCCTACACACCTTTCCCCCCGACACACATTCAAGGATGAATATCTGATGCAGATACATTTTAAGGTGTTATAGACCCAGGATGAAATGGGGCCCATCAGTCATGCAATCTTAAAATGTTTGTTGCATTATTCACCCTTTTATCCACTTCCCTTTGTACTCAGAGATGCAAATTTGTGAATGGTAGGTTTGATATGTGGTCTGCGTTATTATGTTAGAAAAACAAGATTTTTTTTTTCTCTCTCTCTCTCAAAGAGAATAGGCTCTGTCCTTGGCCTCATTAATATTGAGTTCTGGCCAAATGAAATCCAGAATGGGTATAAAATCATGACAGATGCTAAACTGTCTAGGTTAAAGTCTTCCAACAACCCTGACACAATGGGGGTAAGAGGAGGAAAAATGAGTTTTATGGAGAAGACCTAATACACAATTTAGCTTTTAACCTTTTTATTATTCTTACTAAAATGGAATCTTTCAAAAAGAAATTAATATGGACCATCCTTCTTGAAAATACTACTTCAGCGCTGTGCCGTTTTTATAATAGCTTTCTCTTTGTGTATACTTTACAATGTGGGAAATTCTAGACCCTCAGCCAGAGGCTGTGCACCGCTTCTAATAGGCAAACCCTAGATACACAAAGGGTTTCATTACCAGGTTTGACAGAGTAAAAGCCAAGCAGAGAACAAGCCGTCAGAGACAGTTTAATATAAACCTCCTCCGAGGAATTGGAAACAACATCACATTTGTTTCCTGCTACTTGCCTGCCCCTCTGTGATCTTTGTCTCTCTCTATAATAAAATATTTACAGCCAGAGCTCAGCATCCCTTCCTGTCCTCGGGGTTGGAATAAGGTATGTTCTGCTTCCATGGGAGAAAGCAACATCACAGAAACACTAAAAATTTGAATGAATAACTTTGGGGCAGTTGAAAACCTAATCCACTCAAAATGGATCCATTCGGAACAAGATAACTGTGACACATGGGACTTCATTTTGCAGTAATTATTTAAGCACTTGTCGACGACAGTGAATTCTCTCTAGGGAACCTTCTTAGGAACCTACCGAACTTGCTGTCTGTGGATTTCCTCGCATATGGGTTGAGAACTATTTTGTTTTTCTTTTCAAATAATAATGAAACTTGATTTTTAAAAACAATCTCACCTCTT